CCCCCCCCCCCCCCCCCCCCCCCCCCCCCCCCCCCCGCCAGCTGAGTGTACTGTATTTGGTGAAACCAGTTCTGACATTGTGTTTTCACACTTATTTTCAGGAGCAGGCAGAGTAGCGTGCATATATAATCCTCATGCATCATGGCCAAAATGCCATGAGTTCTTGTGAACCTCATTATTTCTAAAAGTGACAGCAAATCCTGTTGTGGATTACCAAAAGTGTCGCATACGTGCAACGTGTATAGCAGGGAAAGGAATGGAAACCCACAATGCTGGAATAATTGGGTCTGTGATATAAGGATCCTATGTTTTGTTGAGTACTGCCATTTATGGTAAAACAGGAATACAATTATCCATAGCAGTGTAGTGAAGCCATCTATGAGACAGTCCTATAATTTTTTAAACTTTTGAATACATTGCATTATTTTAAAAGAAGATTTACACCTTTAATTAGGCAATTATCCATAGCAGTGTAGTGAAGCCATCTATGAGACAGTCCTGTAATTTTTTAAACTTTTGAATACATTGCATTATTTTAAAAGAAGATTTACACCTTTAATTAGATTTTATTCTGTCAAAAATGAAATTCATGTGCATTCTCGTAGTGTATGTAATTAGCTTGGTGACTTTCTTGCTAAATCTTCAGTGCAATATCAGTTTCACATCTGGGACCTTTACCCTGCCAGAATCTCACTGAAGTAAATACCATGCAGGTATTACTATTCCCACTCTAAAGAAAGATTAAGTTTTAAATTTTAAAAAACCGTCTTTATCCCCGATTACAAAACCAATGCACATTTGTGTGTAGAGCACTTAGAGAAATCAGCTGAAGACAGGAGAAAGTAAAGCCGCCCTCCACGCCCACCCTGTGGGAGTGTGGTCTGTGCTAGGTCAGTGGGTGCTGTCACATGTTGTGCTCTGCTTTCTCATTGGTGGTGTTCACTTTATGTACCCTGACCTTTCCATGTCACTACACCAACCAAAATATGATGTGATTTTTGATGAATTAAAGAATAAACAATAAAACACCATGAAAGACATGGCGGAAATATACCTGGGTACTTTGAAAAGTTCATGGAAACATGGAATTTAAAAACAATACTAGTCCTTCCATGACCTTTTTGAAGAGGGTGAGGAGGGGCCTTGAAAACCGCACAGAAAACAGATTTGGCAGAGACAGAGCCATGAGTAATTTGAGAATGTGCTTTGGGGATGACTTCTCAGGCCCTGTAGTCATCCTCTAGGGAGAGTTCAGTGGTGAGGCCTTCCACAAGAGGACTTTGCGGTGCAGACCCAGCACTTTAAGCCTTGCCCGATCTACTCTTTCCTTCCGCTTTATGTTCCCACTTTTTCTCCAGTTGTTTAAAACAGCTAAGTCACTCTCTTTTTTCCTAATGCTCTCCCCTTTAGGTAGCTGCAATTAACCCAAACCACCCCCTTGCCCAGATGCCCTTGCCCCCGTCAATGAAGAACTGCATCCAGCTGGCAGCCTGCGAGGCCACCGAGCTCTTGCCCATGATCCCCGACCTCCCGGCTGACCTGTTCACGTCCTGCCTCACTACCCCCATCAAGATCGCCCTGCGCTGGTAAGTGCCTGCTCACCTGGGCTTCCCACAGTGACCCTGAGCTGCATGGCTCCAAGGTATTTACCAGGTCTTGTGAACCCAGGTTATGGACATGAGCATGCCCTGCCTTCTCTTCCTGCCGTTCAGGATTCTGTGGGTGGAGGATTTACGGTTAAAAATGCTTTCTCCCTCCTGTATCAGTTCATGTGCGTTTGTGGCTTTGTGATTTCCAAGAACACCCTGTCCATATTGTTGTTAATTGTGGGAGTGTCATTAGATAGTACCAAGATTGGTTGTGCTGGAAACTCAACTTCCTTTGAGAAAAAAAAAAAAGGCTATTATGAAAAAAGTCATTTAATTCCTTTCTTGAGTTGAAGTATAATCTTTCAATTTATTCTTAGCATTAAAAAGAAATGCCATGATTTTCTTTCCACTGCCATTTTTTTTAGGAGTTCAGAGCACTTGGGGCTATAACTGAGGAAGTGTATGTGATAGACCCTGATGGCAGAACCTGCCTTTAAGACCTACATCACCAGCAGAACTCACGACGGGATATAGATGTTTCTGCCTCCAAATCCAGTATTCTGCCCTAGACCATCCCACCACTCTTTAATACCCACTTTTACCTTCTGTGTTTTGCCGGAAAGCTCATGTATAGTAGCTGTTCCACTTGCAGATGAACATCTCTCTGGCCAAGTGCAGTGGGAATGTCACGGGAATGTCATGGCTATGCTGTAGGTGCCGCGTGCGTGTCCCTGTGTTTTCCATCAAGGGGGCCTCACAGCCCAGACTCACAGTCTTCGGTTCCTTCCTCACAACCTTACAGAAACTGCTGGGAGAAGTGTGGACCTAAAGGCTGGAAAAACCAAGGGATCATCCCAGGGTCCACTGTAAGTGAGCTGTTGGGTTGGAGGAAACTATGGCGTTCCTGCCCTGCCTCTGCAGCAAAGCCCAAACCAACCCCAAACCCCTGGGGTGAGGCGTTAATGATATTCCCTACCCCCATCCCCCCAAGTCCCATGGCTACGGATTACCCCTCAGGGAGAGGCCTCCTTCTAGTGTTACTCACCCTTAAAAAGTGAGAGATGAGGAGAGGACTTGCCTGGAGGGGCAGCACAGGGGGTGAGGACAGTTTCTGCTGCCCCCCGCCCCGTCCCACCACCCCTGGCTGACATAGTCAAGGGCCCAACCAGGGCCGTTCCCCTGTGCACCCAGCGGAGCAGAGCTCACTTGGCAAAACCAGACACCAAAGGAGCACAACAACTGCAGAGAAAGAGAAGACTGAGGCAGAATTGTCCTAAGCCAAGCATAATACACATGGTTGAGGAGATGGGAAAGATACCAGTAAGAAGAAGTAAGGATAGGAAGTGGTAGTATAAAAAAGGAATCAAGTAGAAACAGAGGTAGGAAAACTGTAACATTTAAACAAAGAACACAGCAGATGGGACTCCTCGCAGGAGAGAGGCTGCTGGAGGGTCACCTGGGGACGGTCTCAGGAGAGAGCAAGAAAGGATAGAGACAGAAAATGTTCAGGAAAGCTGGGAGACAAGGAGACGAGAAAGAGAGGCTCCACCGTGCAGATAGGAGGCGTTCCGTGGTGAGAGGAAAAGGCCACGGCAGAGGGGAAGTCATCTGAAGGTCACAGAGTTGGGAAAGAGGTGGAAGTCCCCAGGCTGCCCTCAGGTCGCCAGGGCCTGTGCTGAGTTGGATGAAGGGGAGAGCTCTGACCTCAGCACAGGGAAGCCGTGCAGCTTCTGAGCCACTCGCTGCCCTTCTTATTCAGTTCTTTCCCGGTGAATTTCTCTCCTCACGTAGGTCTTTGCATTCATTAGTTTATAAGCAATTATGACCAGTGTCTCCCTATCATTACTTGGATTATTTTCCTAAAACATGATTTTACTAAGTCATTTTCCTGCATAAACACCTCCAGGGGCTCTCCCCTGCATAGTCCTTGGAGATGAAGCAGACTGTTCATCTTCACTGTCCGTATTCTGTGTCTGACCACTGTCCAGAAAGGTTGATGAGTGCCCATTTAACATTACACCAGGAAGAGCTTGGGCAGATGACTCAGAAGTTCATTCATTTAATTCATTGTCCAAGAAAGAATTTATTAAATACCAACTGTGTTCTTAATAAAACCCATGCTAAGCACTGTAGGAGATGCAAAGAAGCAAATTGCCCTAAAAAAATTAATCCTCTAGTTGAGACAAAATGTGGCCTGAAAACTCACTATTTAATGGGTGCCTTTTGCAAGACAAAGAACATCTGAGCATTTCAAAGCAATGCATGGTCAAAGACCATATTAATGTGTGGCACAAGGGCTGTTGTGTTTCCAGAGGATGGAGAACTCCCTGAGTGCCAGGGGATCAGAGAAAGCCTCTTGGAGGAGAAGGAACTTGAAACTGAGGCTCGCAGGATGGCCAGGATTTGAAGAGCCAAGAATGCACTTCTACGGGCCGGCCCGGTGGCACACTCGGTAGAGTGCAGCGCTTGGGAGTGCAGCGGCGCTCCCGCCGGGGGTTCGGATCCCATATAGAGACTGGTCCGCTCACTGGTTGAGCGCGGTGCAGGCGTGACACCAAGGGTTGCGATCCAGTTACCGGTCACGAAAAAAGACAAAAAGGAAAGAAAAAAAAAAAAGAATGCACTTCTAGCATGGCTGTGTCCAAGAAGAGTGAGAGAGCAGCCAGAAGGGTTGCGATCCCATTACCGGTCACGAAAAAAGACAAAAAGGAAAGAAAAAAAAAAAAAGAATGCACTTCTAGCATGGCTGTGTCCAAGAAGAGTGAGAGAGCAGCCAGACTGGGGAGGAAGATTTCAAAAGGTGTACAGTTGGTGTGGTCCACATGTGGGCAAGATCAGATTGTGGGTCACTCTGAATGCTGGGCCAAGGACCATGACTTCATCTCCAAGGACTATGCAGGGGAGAGCCCCTGGAGGTGTTTATGCAGGAAAGTGACTTAGTAAAATCGTGTTTTAGGAAAATAATCCAAGTAATGATAGGGAGACACTGGTCATAATTATGCTGTCATCATATCAATGAGTCATGATCTGGTAAAAGACTAAAGCAGGAGAGTGGAAAGTGGCAGCGGGGCCTGCAGTCTGCTGTACGATGGAATCAACTGTGGAACAGGCCCCATTACCACTCACTTTCCCACCTCTCCCTGTTGATTTCCTGCCATTACTGCTTCTGTGCACCCCAACCCCAGAATGGAAGCTGTGCGCCAGCTCTGCTCACTGACTCTGCATGCCTGGGCTGGGCGCTGTATGTGGTGGCACTCTCAAAGGGCATTTATGCCAGCATCCAGGCAGGTGAGTGGAGGTACAGGGGAGAGCAAGGAAAGATGACAAAAGGGACAAATGGGCCCTGACGTGACAGCTGTCCCTGTCCACACCTTCCCTGCCACATCTCTGGAACTCTATTCTCCCACCAGGAGTCGGGAAGGCCATGGCTTCTGTCCAAGTGCAGCATGTGCTGCTGAAGCAGTGTGCTCTCACATGGAGGCCCTCTGATTAGGGAGTGGGCTTTCTCTCTACCAAGACATGGTGCGTTAGCTCAGTAGCTACCTGAAGTCCTTTCTGGAGTTAGGACATAATTAAATTTTTTTGAAGTAAGCATTTAGTAGGAAGTGCAGTGAAAAACAAATCAAACACTTAACACCAAATGGACTTTGAAGCCAGCATGCCGCGGGTGCGGGCAATAGTTATCAGATAACCACTGCTAAGAACAATTGAGCCGTGTCCCACAGGGTAGGTCCTTTACAATAAACTACTTTCTGCCATATTGAGGTGCTGAAATCAGACTGTTTTTTTTGTTTGTTTGTTTTGAGACCAGCCGCACAGCGCTCAGCCAGTGAGCGCTGTGAGCGCACCGGTCATCCCTATATAGGATCCAAACCCGCGGCGGGAGCGCTGCTGCGCTCCCAGCGCCGCACTCTCCTGAGTGCGCCACGGGCTCGGCCCTGAAATCAGACTGAACGTAACATTTGCTGAGTGTCCTTAGCCTCGGAATGGCAGGAGTAAAATGTGCGCTTCTTTGAAACAGATAATTTAAAGCCAGCAGTTTCGGTAAAATGGAAGTGAGACAGTTTGTCAGGCAGTACTTATTTATGTTTTTAGGGCTATGGTGTTATTTTTTCATTTAAAAAGTTGATTTAACATTTTCCAATTAAAAATTGAATGTATATCCTTTGCAGAAAATTTACTAAAAAGTGGGGAAAAAATTATCCAAGATTTTGCCATCTAAGGACATTTAGTGTTAACTTTTTGGTGTATCGCCTATCAGTCTTTTTTTTATACAGATACATTTTTACAATGATATAATTAGACTGAATTTACAATTTCATATACTTAAACCTTAGCATTATAATAAAATGATCCATCCGAGACCATTAGAAACTCTTAGTAAATATCGTTTTACCATTTCACTGAATTGATATGTAACCAAAGTCTAGGGATTTAGGATTTAATATTCAGAAATATAAAGGTAGGAGATCTCAGAGGAGCTCTCAAACAGGGGTCAGCAAACTTTTTCTGGAAGAGGCCAAATAGTATAATTTAGGCTTTTTGGCCAGGTGGTTCTAAGTCCACTACAGAAGAGCCATAGACAATACATAAACAAATGTGGGAGGCTGTGTTCCAATAAAACTTTATTTACAAAAACAGGCAGTGGGCCGGATTTGGTCTATGGGTCATAGCTTTCCAATTCCTGCTCTAGTAAATGGAACCAGGATCGAGCTGCAAATGACTGCTGTGCTTACCTGCTGAGTAGTAAATAACCTAGACAAAGATAATACTCAGGAAGGTCCTTCCCCTCTCTCTTTTTCTTTTTCTCCTCTCTCCCTCTCTCTTTCTTTGTAATAAGAGGATTTTTTTTAAGATGCTGCACTTATTGTGTAAGGTATAATTGTTAAAGAATGTTACGTGATTTGAAAACACAATGCACCCTTGCATTATATGTGCAAACTAGGTGTGTGTATTTGGTGGCAAGTGTATTTATGAATCTTATTTGAGGATGAAGT